AAAGGATTGTACAGTAAAATCAAATTTAAAAAAAAAAGGAAAAAAAAAAAAGAAAAGGAAGAAAAAATGTTTTAACGTTTTTTTTTCGCATTAATTTTACAATTCAAAAAAAAAAAATTACATTTATAAATTAAACTAAATGAACATATCGATCTTATAAAACAACATCTGTCCTGTCTTAAATCATAAATAAACAATCTAATGTTTTTATAATTCATTCTAGGCATTTATGGTTAATTTTCTTCTATTATGCTTAATTTATCAATATTATTTCCTGAATAAAACCAAATATATTTTCCAGTAACATTGCAAATTTTCAGCTATATGCTGGAAATGCAATCTGATAATATTGATAATATAATAGATGATAACACCGATAACAATATTATGTTGGAATAATTTACACATATACAATGATAACATACGGATTATCTATTACCGAATAAACTTATCAGTTTATATTGATATTAATAAAGAAAGGATAAGAATATTAGCGCCATAAATATTACTGACATACCGCCATCTATTTATGCGTACATTCATGTATATATATTAACATACAATTCACATGGAAAATATGAAACAATAAAAGGTATGACAAATTTTTAAGTGTGTATGACAAGAGACATAGAGAATGATAAAAAAGGAAAAAAAAACCGGCAAGAAACTTGTTTAGAAATCAGGAATGAAGTTTATCTAATATCCCCATCTATCATACCAGTTTCTCATATCCATCTCATTTATTCTTTAATTCCTTTGTTTTAATTGATAATCTCAAGTTTTACCTTTTAATTGATAATTTATTGCCTTTGTATTGATAATTATTCCATAACTAACGTTATTGATATCGTATAAAATTAATGATGATAATATTGTTAATAGCGGAATTATTCAACTATCATCATTTCTTCCACTTCTTTTACGACAATTTATAACTATCAATACTATCAACTATTACTATTATTACTATCATAACCATCAATAATTTTAATTCATTTGAGAAAATTAAAAAAAAAAGAAATTCTTTGTCTAAGAATTCATTGAGAATTCATTTCTGATACTGTTATTAGCAAATTTCAAGATTCTCTCAATCATAGGTTTATCATAAATGATAAGAATTTTTACTGATTAAAACTGTGTGCTATTATCATTTATGTTAATAAATGAAAAGATATGATGCAATGAGATGTCTTATTTGAAACAAATTGTTGTATGAATTGATGAATAATTCAATTGAAAATATCAAATAAGTCACAAAAAAAAAGGAAAAAAGAAAATAATTTCCGGTTTAATTTATCAGTTAATGCTATCATATAGCACTTATAAATGTCAACATTCCAATTTTTTTAACAGTCAAAACAAATAGAAAATCAATTAAAATAAAAATTAGAAAAATTCAATTTGAATCATTCCATTCCATTTGAATAAATTATAAAGTAACAAAAAAAACAATTCAACAGCTATTTCATCGATTGATGATGCGAACGGAAAGGATAGATTCATAGTTTGAGATATTGTAATAATTCCTGATATTCGATAGTGATGATAATGATGATGATGATGTTGATGATGTTGATAGTGATGATAAAAAGCTTTTCTAGAAGTTAGCCATTCTATCTCATTTCAATGTTTGTTTTCAACTTCAATCAAATATCGTTCATAGTTTATTTGCTCAAAAAAAAAAAAAAAAAAAACTTAAGTTAGAACGAAACTTTCAAAATGATTATGATGTAATCTTTGAAAATGGGTAAGAGAAGATAGAAAATGATTGACAAATATTTCATTTACTACAAAATTTTGAAAATTTTACTTTTTTCTTAAAGTAATTGATAATGAAAGATTGGTTCTTTAAGGAATTGTTTAAAAAACTGAAATAGTTTTCTTATCAGCAAAAAGACGAAGTTTTAGAAGGTAGAAAATGAAAGTACTTTGATCTCATGTATACTAATGAAAGAGTAATAATTAGTGAAAGAAATTAATGAAGTAAAAATAAAATTCCATTGATTACTTTATTCAAATCAATAAACACAATGTAACAAAATTTAATATCTTCCGTTTATATTCAAATGAACAAATTTAATATCATTACTTCTTATTTAGTCTCATTCCAAAATCTAGTTCTATATCATCCCCATTTAGATATTCAAATTTTTGAATTTTTACTAAATATTGCCAAAAATTTTAAATTTAAACTTGTCACACATTCAATAATTTCACATTTATATGGGTATATTGCAGAAATTGCAAAAGCATTTTCAACAACGAAATTAGAAAAGTAACTTATCAGTTAAGAAATTAATCAACCTGTTGTTACAATCGGTCAAGAAGGAACAGAAGTTCAATCTTCCTATCAATTATCAGAACATTGCACTCCTCCCATTTGTTAACGACCTAAATCTAATTTTTTCATAAGTACCAGCCATCTCTCAATCTCAAATGATTCCAATTCTTCAACAATTAAATCATCAATAGAGCGGTCAATCGTATTTTGTGTTTTTCTGTTGACAATTGTAATTTGAGTCCTTCAAAAAATAATTTTCATTTCGAATGACATCATTTTCGATGTTTAGTTCAATTTGTCGTAATAAATGTTTTGTTCATATGAAAAATTGAAGTAGGAAATGATGGTAGGTCAAAACGAATCATTTCATTGTCATTTCCTTAGATATGTCACATTTGCATAACGTCATATACTATCAAATATGTGACTCATTTAATTACAAATTTATGATGAATATATGCTCCGAGCAACTTTTCATCAATTTTACATCTTTTATGTTACGTTTCGATTTCTTTTTTCTTTTGATCATAAAAACTAATTACTTCCGAAACATCCGGTATACATAGTACCATCATCTTCAGTACAACAATAAACGGAAAATATTCCGGAATTAACATGATTAGGATAAAAGGAATAATTTATATATTTATACAAAGGAATAATTTATATATATATAATAATTTATATATTTTTATATAAATAATTTATATATTAATAATTTATGTAGTGTTATGGAAAGAAAAAGAAAGCATTGTTTAATTAACATGTTGCATAAATTATTGCAACACAACTTTGTTAATTAATTAAAATTTGAAATGGTGGAGTGAAAAACTGAAATTTTAAGTTTATTTTATTACAATTTCCTGATTGCAGTGATTTTTGCAATGAGATTTACTGATAACAATGATTAGTAAATTGGCTGAGGACAAAAATGATTTTATGCTTAAAAGAAAAAATTTTAATGAATAAAAGTTTTGAAAATAATAATTGTGCAAATGAAAGAATTTTTAAGAGTTAAGAGAGCAATGAAAGAGATAGTTAAATACTTCAAATTTCAAAAATCAAAACAAGCGATTTAAGATCCTTTAAAAAATTTCAAAAAAAGCTGATATAAGATGTAAGATGATATATTTAAAAAAGAAATACAAAACAAGATTGGAACAAATGAATCAGTAATTTCCGGATAAATTGATTTGTGGAATGATGATGATTGACAATGATGTAAAATAAACTAACCAATCTTAAGTGGTTGGAAAATTGACATTCAGATGAAGTTATCGGTACTTTAAATACTACTTCTAAATATTAGTCATTATTTGGTAGAATACAATACTATTCAAATTTTAGAAAGTAATTATATTATTTAAAAAATAATTAACTTAATTTTAATCAAGTTGTATCAATAATGATAAGATAGACATTTAATCAGGTTTAATCATGATAAAAAAGAATATCAACGTTTGTCTTGTAAAATATAATAAATTTACCTATGTATAATACAACTTTTTTCCATTTTGATAATTTCATGGACTGTATTAGATGAATGATAAAAATTGTTTGACCTTTTGAAATAGACTTGAACAATTTATAGAATGAGGAAAAAAAATTGGACTATTCATTATCAATTGTTCCCCTCTTTAATTGCTATCGTTATTTATTCTTGATAAGGATATAGAGTTCCTTCTACAATATTTTATGTCTTTCCATGACATATTATTTCAAAATCAAAACTTTTATAGGATTATTTTTTAATTAAACAATTTTAGTCTGATTAAATTAATAGTTTAAATTTTAAATTATTGATTTGGAATATAATGATCGTAAAATTATAGCGAAATAACGACGGACAACATCCGTTATACCATTTTTATGACTTTTAAGATCACCGTCCGTTACAACGAAAGATCTGATAATTGAGGTATCATAAAAGATTTTGGAAAAAGGTCACCTGTTTTGCTATAATTCTCTCCTTTATAGAAATGTTGCGACAAAGTGACAATAAAATGAGATCGTAAAATGTGTGCCCTCATATACTAATATTACTTTAACAAACTACTATTGCTATTTTACTATTAGTATTAGCATTACTACTACATACTAATACTAGTTTTAGTACTTGCTACATCAATACTAAATACTTATGCTAATAGCAATGCTAATGCTAATGCTAATGCTAATACTAATAATAGTGATAATGATAACAATGATAATAATATTTATACTAAATATTACCACTATTGGTATCTAAATAATACGGATCAAACAAACCGCAACACAATCCAATTGCTTTAGACAAAATAGTCTATCCATTTAAAGGCTCAAATAAAGATAAGCAATTGAATAGACAGGTAAATGAATGGTAAGAGAACCTTTCTATTCCGGTCACACCGACAAATTGGCACCATATTTACAATTAGTAGTTTCTCGAGAATAAGTTGACATTCGAAGTTCAGAAAAAGAAAATGCCGAAAATCAAAAGGGAAAAATGAAACTTTTGCAAATTAATACATCGATGAATTGATAATTCATCTATTTCGATTGTATTTATATTTGGACAAAGAATGATACGATGTGACCTTGAGGGTTACAGGCCAAGAAAGCTGAAGGATAGATATCAAGCATTCAATCAGATCAGGGACATGAATTAACGGTAATCCTATTAAATTGATAATTCATCTATCTCAATTGTCTACATTTGGGTAAAGAGTGATACGATGATACGGTTCGGGATTTCACGTTAAGAAGGCTAAAGGATAGATGTCGGCGTACAGGGATATGAAGTAATATCTGTGATGTTTGCATTAATTGTCTTTTGATGGTCAAAAAGGAAGTCTGCTACGTCAAATACCTTAACGTAATTGTGAAGAAAAGTGATACGTGAAATAATTGGAATAAATGAAAAGAGAATTGTATCACTGTAATTTTTTTTTTTAAATTTAAGTACTTTGTTAAAAGTTCTAAGTGCATTAGAATTCAAATGAATTATAATTGAGCGAAGAAAAAAAATTTTTTTTTGAAAATTAAAAGAATCATTGAGATATTTCGGGAAAAGCATATGGTAAAAAAAAAGAAATGTACAAAAAAAGAAAATTATTCAAAAGTGTTTTATTAATAATAAAGTATTACGTTCGCAAATATTTCAGTATTCCATTCTTGGTGTATTTTCCTCAATTCCTGATAACTTCTCGAATAGATCATTCAATTTTTCATGATAAATTTAATTGATAAATATAAAATTGAATTTTTAACATATAAGTAGAACTACAACATATGCTAATTGCATCATTGACAAAAATTTTGATACAATATCATGAAGTGTTGAAGGGGAAAAAATAATTAAAAATAATTAGAAGCCTAAAAATGCTTGCATGAATTGTATTTCTTAAGATGGTTAATAAAATTATCATGAAATGCAAATTTTCCAACTCTTAAGAATTTAATCTTTGGTCTTTAGGAAGTTAATATGAATATGAGATCTATTCCGAAATATCCATATTACGTAATTCACCATTTAAAGAAGTAATATTTACTTTATTATTTACAGGTATAATTGGTTATATTCTCTATGCACAAATATGTATTCATTGATTTGATCAAAATTATTGAAAAATTAAAAATTGATGTAATTTAATACAGTAATTTGTTTTTGAGCCCTTTTAACAATTTGTTTTTGAGCCCTTTTAACATCCATTAATTGTATGATTTAATTAAATCACTCAAATATTGCAACTTTTTTTCTTTTTTTTAAATACGGAAAAATGCAGCAAAGAAAAAAAACAAATTCGATTAGCGTTCGAACATTTACACATTAAATATATAAGTAAAAATATGTTTTGAGGGAGAAGAGAAGGAAAAAAAAATGAATTCTTTATAAAATTTCAAAAAATTATTTTCAAATGAAATGTAAAAGATGGAATAATTTACCGAAAGAGCGGAAATATACCATCTCAGAAAGACATTTAAAATGTTGTAATTTATTAATT